TGGCATGTGGTGCTGGGGGATTGAACCGCGGTCCCTGTGCTTTGCTAAGCTTGTTCTAAGTAGGTGCTTTAGACCACTGAGCCATCTCACCAGCCCAAGAACTGAGCTAGGGCCAGGCCCCCCAGACCTTTGTGCTTGCCAGGCAAGCACTTATTCTACTGAGCCATCTCCCTGGCCCCTTAAAAATTACTTTTAAAAGCTTAATAAAATAGAAAAATGTAGCAAAAGTGCATAGTGTCTAGAGAGTGAAATGAAGTGGTTAAGGTTTTTTTGCTTTTTAATTCCTGTAAGAATGAACGATAAGCAGGTATGTTTGGGGTTGGCATTGAAGATGGCTCTGCTAACAAAACTGTAATTCTGAGCAGCTTGTTTTAACTGAATGACAGTGCTTTTTGGTGCCCTTATGAAACTTCTGAAAGGTCACTGAGAGGTGTGCATCTGTAGGGCTTTAGGCGACCCCTTTAATGCTTTGTAGTAAACTGTATCAGTTTTAAAGCCTTTATATGAGCTGGATGTAGTAGCATGCCCATGATCTCAGCTATCTGCAGTGAGAGGGACACTTGAGCTCAGGAGTTAGACCAGCTTGAGCAATACGGTGAGACCTCATCCTGAAAAACAAATATCCTCAAAAAACCTCAAAATAAATGTACCTCCTGTTTCAAGTTACTGCATCACCTTTGTAGGTCATTGCCGTACTATGTTCACTGGGCACAAAAAGACCATCTTCTGTGTAGTCTAAATCCCAAATGTGAATCAGTAAAGTCAAGAGGAGCTTTAATTTCTTCCTTTTCAAGAGATGGCCTTACCTTGGCAGTGGCTCTCAATCAAAAAGACCCAAAGGTGAGTAAATACAATTGGTTTTGGAAAGTAACCTAGAAAAAAGGAATGTACTCCAGTTTTGAGATTTGTTTTCTTTCCTTGACTTCCTTGAAGAGTTTTTTCCTTTTAATTTGGATCTTTCATTCTTTCTTCCTTTCCTTTCTCTGCACATGCGCTGTGTGCATGTGCGCGTGCATGCGTGTGTTGGTACGGCATTGGAGATTGGACTCAGAGCTTCACGCACACTAGGCAAGTGATCTACCGCTGAGGTGTGCTCCCACCTTAAGTTCTTATCTTCTAATACCTTGCCATTGTGGATTGGTAAAGTTATGTAAGTTAGTTGCCATAATTTTCAAAAGCTGGGCTTTAGAAGTAAAAAGATGATTAGGGAAAAGGGAGATTAGAGCCTGCAGCTCTAGCTGGGGTAAAGGTAGACTAGAAAAAATGGCTGCAGGGGTTATTATTTTGTCACCAGTTGGGAAGGACTCCGTAAGTAGTTTACTTATAAAAGACCTCTGATTGCCAGGGTTTTAAGTAATAAAGACAATAAAATAGTTTGGATGATTTTTCTGTCTTTTTTTTTCCTTCTAGGCAACTCAGGTATTATTTATAAACACAGTAAATTTTGTTATTGTCTGTGGTAGCCTGAAAGGATGCAGTAATAAAAATCCTGTTGTTCCAGTTGCACTTATCAGGTATAAACTTGTATGTATTTCTAAGTATTTTATTTCATTTTGCAATAAAAGAAATATAGGGCTCTAATAATTTCATTGATATCATTTAGATAGTGTAATTTACCTTTAGCATTTGTATTTAATGATTCCAGTTTTGGTAGGGTTTTTGTTTTTGTTTTTTTTCCTTTGAATACAGGGTCTTACTGTGCAGTTGATTTGAGGCTGGCCTTGAGCTCAGTTTGTAGCCCACTCTGGCCTTGAACTCTTGATGATCCTCCTGCCTCAGCCTCCTGAGTGCTGGGATTACAGACATGTACTTTCACACCTGGCTGTGCTTAATGATTCCAAAAGTTGCTTTATATAAAGAAAGCTTTAATGTTAAGGAAAGGATGAGTGTGTTAGCAGATATGCCAGTGTATGTTCTTTTTCATTGTTTTCTGTATCTTCAGAGAAGTGAGTGCAATCATGTGTAAGTAAAACAATTTTCTGTATAAAAAGAAAGGCTAAAATGAAAAATCCTATACTGAGAAAACCATATTTAATCAGGGAAACTGGAGTTGTTATGTCCTCTTTTCTTTACGTGGTCAGTAGCATGGTAGTGAATTTTTTTTTTTTTTAATTAGGGAAGGGTCTGCAGGGTGTTCAAGGGTCTCACTAGTAGATCGGACTCGTAGTGATGCACCTGTTTACAGCCTCCCAGGAGCTGGGATTACAGGCGTGCCACCATGCCCAGCCTCCACTGCCATCTCAGCGCACCAGGGGCGGTAGTGATAGCTACCAGCTGGCTAATAGACTTTCCCAAGTTTTCAGGCATCTAGTTCTCCTAATTTTCCTCCCTTCCCCAGCAGTTCTTTTTGAGAAGTATTGCCGGTCTCCTTCATTGGGCTATTTCATGTGGAGGAGGTACTTTTTGTTCTCACGAAACATTGATATCACCAAAGAGTTTAGTAGTAACAAGAGCCATGTATGGTGGTACGCGCCTGTAATCCCAGCACTCGGGGCTGAAGCAAAAGGATCACTGCAAGTTTGAAGCCAAGCTGGGCTAGTAGTGAGTTCAAGGTTGGGTTGAACTACATGGTGAGACCCTGTCTTCCAAAAAACAAAACCCCAAGAATAACACCAACACCTTTGGGAGGAAGCAGAGCACCTATTAAATGGGGTTCTACCAACCTCAGAGGAGCTTTTCGCAAGCAAGCTTCTTTTCCCAGGAAGTCAGATTCAGATATGTGTGTGACATTTGCCTACTATCCATTCTTTGGCCCTCATTTTAAAAAATATCTCACCCCTGCTTGGTGTAGCCCATTATAAACTGTCAAACATAGTGTCATTTCTAAATATGTTGCCTTTTGCTCTTTCTAGGTCCTATTGGGTAGGTGACATCAGCTGGACCCATGATAATCTTTTTCTGGCTTGTGTTTTAAAACGTGGCTCCCTGGTTTTACTGACCTGCCAAGGTGAACTGCTAACATTAATTACATTTGGTTGCTCTATAGAGTTTGGGCCAGCAGAATTTATTCCACTTCATCCACTCATAACATATAGGTGAGACATTTGGGGAGTTCAGTTTGTTTCCAAAACTTTTTTTTTTTCAAAACTTTTTCTTTTAACCTGTGTTTTTTAAAATATCATCTTTCAAATTCTTTTGCTTTCTTTAAGCCTGTCGTCTCAATGTTTCTTATTTATAGTTTTCTTCTATTTCTTTTCGTGGCTTAATCCAGGTGAAAATTTGACATTGTGGCTATGTAAGTATACGTTATTTAAATATTCAGTAGCACTAAAAGTTAATCTCTTATGGTATAAGAAATAAAGATGTAAAAGGGCACTTATTATAATGATAGAAATAGCACTTAGATAAATTAAAAAGTCAGTTAACTTCACTCATAGTCTTTTTTTTTTCAAAGTTTTATTGATCAACAGATAGCAATGAGACAGTTTCAAATCAAATCGGAAGTACAGTTTCAACAAATAATACACTGCATATATTCTTCTTAGTGGTTATCACTCATAGTCTTATCCACTTTTTTTCTGAGGGAAAAGTTTTTCTTAATGAAAGTTTAGAATTTACTTATATCTTAATTTTTAACTGTGAGATGAAGTAGAAGTTTGGCTTTGAAGTCAGACATGATTTAAATATTGAATTTTTTTCTACTTATTAGTTCTTACATTATTCTTTAATCTTCTGTAGAGCTTTTGTGTTCTCTTCCGAATTGAAAGTGACAATTGTCTTTTAGCATTGAAGGAGTGAAGATTGTACATAATTTTAAATCATTAAGCACAGTTCTCATATAAAATAAGTTCATTTTGTTTGTCATTATTGATGTTATTGTATTATATATACACAAAACATTATTAAAGCAGAAAAATTGAAAAGGCCTTTGAAAATTAATTCACTTACTGAAAAGAAGCAAGTATATTCTTTATTATGCTTACAAAAAAACCCTGATATAGTACTTAGTTTTCGGTGAGAAAGAATGCAAATGGAAAACTGTCCCTTCCTGCATGGAAAGTATTTTTCCTGTACTACTTATGGTCTGTTTTAGTTTCTCCAATTCACCTTTAAAATTAATATTTTAGAATCTTTCCAAATTGATTTTTTTCTAATTATAAAAGTAACATTGATCTTTTAAAAAGACTTAAAATCACGTTTCAAAGCTAAATAATGTGGAAAATGAAAGATTTGTATTTCTGTACCTCAGAGATAATAGTATTTTAGTGTTTTGTTGTCTAAATTTTAAAAATATTTCTGTAACAGGGCTGGGGATATAGCTCAGTGGTATGGGTACCTGCCTAGCAAGTACAAGGTCCTGAGTTTGATTTCTAGTACCAAAAGAAAAAAAGATATATTACCATGACATTGTAATATAACAATGAGTTCAAGGCTAGCCTGCACTGCATAATGAGACCCTGTTGTCTCAAAAAAAAAAAAAAAAAAAATTAATGGTTGTAAAGATTCCCATGGTATAAATGTTCTTTTTTTATTTTTTTATATTTTGCACTATGGATCGAACTCAGTTCCTTGTGCTTGCCAGGCAGGCGTTTATGCCACTGAGCTCTCTCCCTGGCTGTAAGTATTGTATAATTAACCAATCATCTATTTTTGGTAACTTAATTAATTTAAAAGGTTGAGAGACTGGGTGTGGTGATGCATGCCTGTGATCCCAGCACTTTGGAGACTGAAAACAGAAGGATCACTATGAGTCCAATCTGTGTAGTAAGACCCTGTAGACCCTGTAGTAAATACATAAAGAAAAATATATATATATAAGATTGACACTTGAATAGTTTCCTAATCAGAAACTATGGTACATTTTGATGATTTGTCCCCTTTTATGCTTATAAATCTCAGACTTAATAATCAGTGATATTTACTAATCAGAATCAGGTATGTTATTATAATAGTAGGTATGTACATTTGTGTTGAAATTCACTCATTTAATTTTCAGATAATAAAATTTTTCCAGGGATATTGCTCAGCAGCATAATTACCTGCCTGGCAAGTGCAGGTTCCTGAGTTCAATCCCCAGTACCAAAAAAAAAAAAAAAGATAAAATTTTATTCACCATTATTCTCTTAAACATTCTGCTCCTTTTTTTTTTTTTTTTGTTTCTTGTCTTTAAATAAATATACTGATAGATCATAATTGCATTCCTGTAAGTATATATAAATATTTGATAAGAAAATTAATTTAACTTTTTAATAGTAAAATAAACTGCCTTAATTCTTTTCTAAAATGGGTCATACCGAGATTAAAAACAGTATCTGCTACAGTTCAGGAAAAATTTGAAAATACACAAACATTTCTAAGTCACTGTAATGTTTTCATGTCAGGTATGTATACATATATATTTCATATTTTGTGTGTGTTGTTACACTTGCTCTCATCATGATGTATGTTTTATTTTACTTTTTCTTTGGAATAACATATTTCCTTTAAGATCTTTCTGTTACTGATTCTTGAGTTTTAATGTTTGTTTGATAGGCCACCACAGTTTACATTTCAAGATTCAAATGATTCTGTGGATTCATCAGCTTCTGATGATGACCCTATGAGACAGAGATTTTCTATAAAAGCACACTCTTGGTTACCCTACCTCATCATTTCTGATGGGTACATGGTCACAACGCTTCGATTTCTTGATAACCTGTCTCCATCAGTGCTTATGCAATCACTTCTACTTGATTCAACCCAGAAGCTTGAGAAATCCTACCAAAGTGTGAGACTGTCTAAGGTATAGTCTTTTTGGTATCACTGCTAGAAGTTGCTGTGTTAGTGACTTTCTCCTTCCTGGGATACAATACCTGGCACAACTTAAAGGAAGAAAGATAGGTTTCAGTCCTGGCTTCAAGGCAGGACAGCGTGCAGAAGGGCATCATAGAGAAAGAGGTGCTCACGTTATGGTGCGAACACAGGAAGAGTGAAGGCAGTGGTGAGGAAGAGAGATCCTCATTCAGGCCAAGCCCCTCCAACCTGGCTCCTCAGGTTGGGCCCCACTCTGAACAGCAGGTCAAGCTGTCATGTCCCTGTGATTTAGTCACATCCCAAAATCCATACCTGTGATCGTCCAGAGAGCTGAAGGGACATCTAGATAAAAACGCTAACTAACACGCACCTTTTTATTCTTTTCAAAGTTGACTGTGAAATTTTTAATTGCTTGCAGTAGAGTTTCAGATTTAAATTTTGCTCTTGCAAATCTTGTCTTTTCATATCTAGCCAAAAGGCAAAGTGCTGAACTTGAGATCACTGGATTCCCTCAGGTCTAACTTATTAAAACATGGAAAAAATGAAAGTTCACTGGATTCCACTTTACCCAAATTTTTGCAGGCTGAAGAAACAATAAAGTTAAATGAAGAAACAGCAGATTTTCAGGTATTACTAGCTGTGTTTTGTTTGCTTTGAACAGTTGCACACTGATTTTATTCTAAAACACATTTCATTTTTTTCTCATTAAAGACAAGAGAAACTTGAGAACACCAGTGCATTCTAATTATAAGGTTGAAATGGTATTAAATGTAATTTTTCTCTTGTATTTAGAATTTTGAAGCAGAAGAAACTAATGAAGGCAAATACTTCCCAAACAACTTACTTCCTTTTTGGAACCAAAAAAATGATCCATTGTTTAACAGTGTCAAGGAAGGAAGATTGGAATTCGCCTCTATGTTTGATACAATGCATGCAAAGGATGATACCAGCGAGACAGATAGAACCATTACAGAAATATATTCTATCCAGAAAAATCTACTTGCAGCATGGACAATAGGGATTTCAAGAAATATCACAGAAAAAACCTTAATGTTAAATTATACAATCGTTTGTATCACTCATTTTTTCTATATTCTTCAGTTTATAAAATGTCCTTTCCCCAAACTTGACCACTCTTTAAGTGAGAGCCCAAAAGAAAATGCGTGGGTACTTTGTATCTTTCAACTTTTCCAGCAGTGTTTGTTGATCCAGTATTGGGATGTGAGATACAAACAAGGTGTGGGACATTTGCTAAGACTGACCTCAAACACTGTAAAGCTTTTGCTGACCCAGCAACAAAAGGACCAGTTATTCTCAGAGAAACTTTTAGCCTGTTTCTATTTACTCAGAATGGTAGCTGATAATTTAAATGGTATGTACAACCTTGAAGCTGAACTTATTTCATCATCAGCTGGTGGAAATAGAACAGCAGAACAAGATTTGTTGGTACTACCTATTTTTCAAATGTTTCAAAGCCATGGTTCTCAGGAAAACTGGTCATGGAACTCAATTTTCAAGATTCGTCCTCAAGGAACAAATCAGCCAAGCCACAGGTATAACTTACTTTTTTATTAAAGTATCATTAGATTTCCTGTATGATACAGTTCACCATTTTAATCTGTATAATTCAATGGCTTTTGTTGTGAAACTGTTACTACTAATTCTGAGATATTTTCATCTTTCCCAAAAGGGAAACCTTGTATCCATTAGCAATCAGCATTAAAACATTGTAGGTTTTTTTTGCTTTTTAGAATGTATTTGGTACAGGGTCTCATTCTGTAGCTCGGACTCATAGTGATCTTCCTGTTTTCAGCCTCCCTAGTACTGCGCTTACAGGTGTGTTCCAACACATCTGGTCTTAGTGGCTGGCTCGTCATGCCTGCGGGCAGGGCCTAGGCAGCATGTGGTGCCAGGGATCAAACCCTGGTTCCTGCACTTGCCTAAGCAGGCGCTTAGTCGGCTGAGCTATCTCACCAGCCCTTAAAGCATTGTTATTTTGTAAAATATTTAAGTGTATGTTTCAAAAAAAGATCATGTCATACCTGATAAATATGTAGTTTTTATTTGTCAATTTAAAAATAATTTTGGATTTATTACACATGTTGTACAGCACGCATGTTTTTAGTCTTGATAACCACCATATTAAAAGATTTTAGTTTAGTTAAGTACTATAGGAAAGTGATCTCAAGCTGACTGAGGTGGCATACACGTGTAATTCCTAGCTACTTGAGATGGGCAAAGGCAAGAGGATCATGAGTTCAAGGCCAGTCTGACAGTGTAGCAAGATCCTGTCTCAGAACAACAAAAACTTTAGGTGCCTAAAACATTTGCAAAGAGTTTTCATATGCATTGTGCATTTTTTTGATCGCTGGAATCTGTGCTATATTTATTTATTTTTTATTTTATTTTATTTTATTTTATTTTTCAGAACCAGGCATTGAACTTGCCAGGCAGGCACTTATTCTACTGAGCCATCTCCCTGGCCCCCTGTGCTATATTTAAATGTGACCTATATGTGTCATTATATTAGTGAAGAATATAGGCAAATCAATAGGCTATAAAAGGGCATATTTTGGTTTTGATGATTATTTGATTTTGTGTGCAGATTGATTGGTCTCTGGAGAATACTGTACCAAAAAACGTTATGGTATCAAGCACAATTAAGTCGAAGAATTCCTGAGGGTGACATACAGTCAACTGAAAAGATGACCCATGAAGTGGCTACTGTTAAGTCCCTGTTATGCCATCTACAGTGTGACTTACAGAGCGCTGGTGATCACTTGAACCAACCCTTAGCGCTTACCTCTCTTGATGGTCAGTATCTCATAAGCAATTTCTAGTGTTGTGAATAAGTGAATCAGTTACCTGGACTTCCTTTTTTTTTTTTTTTTGGCAGAACGAGGCATTGAACTCATGCCCTTGCGCTTACCAGGCAAGCACTTACTCTACTGAGCTAACTCCCTGACCCCTGGACTTCTTTTTTTTTTTTTCTTTCAGAACTGGGGATTGAACTCAGGCCCTTGTGCTTGCCAGGGAAGCACTTATTCTACTGAGCCATCTCCCCAGCCCTTGGACTTCTTAATGGGTTAAAATCATTTCTTTTTCAAAATAATTTCTGACCAATATCCACTGAATGTTTTTTTTCCTACTGAATGTTAAAACAATGTAAATTTTTAAAAGTAATGTAATTAACTATGATTGTTGATTTAAAACTTCCTTAGGTGAAGAGAGTTTTCTGTTAGGCTCATATGAAAAGGCTGTTCAGCTATGGAAGAAGGCACTTCAAGAAACCCAAGAGAAAGGTAATAAGAACTGATTTTCTTCTACAGAGCTTAAAAATGATTCCAAAGTTCAGCGTGCTTACAACATCCTAAGGCTTGTCTAAATCACTTTCTCATTGTGGGAACAGTGTCTGACACCCAGAATTTAAAGGAGGAGAGGGGTTTTGGCCCATAGTTTTAGTGCACAGTCCACTGGCTTGAAGGCAGAACAGCAGAGCAGAGGGGTATTGCGGAGGAGTGGTTGCTCCTCTCAGGGCAGCCTGGAAGGAGCCAAGAGAGAGCTGAAACCTGCCAGGTCACAGGCACAGTGACCTCCTCATCTCCACAGGCCACTTCTCCTAACAGCAAATCAGCTGTGACACCCCTGTGATCCAGTCATCTTCCATAGGGCCTCCGGGGACATCTGGATATAAACTATAATGATGCTCAAATGTAATACTTGCTATACAGGCAACTTGACTGTCCAAGATACATAATTTAAAATCTTTAGTTTTGAATTCATGGCACACAGTCTTTTTTTTAATTTTATTTATGTGTGTGTGTGTGTGTGTGTGTGTGTGTGTGTGGCCCGCTCAGCCCACCAGGAGGCAGGGCTGGCTAGCATGTGGTGCTGGGGGATTGAACCGCGGTCCCTGTGCTTTGCTGAGCTTGTTCTAAGTATGTGCTTTAGACCACTGAGCCATCTCACCAGCCCCCACACAGTCTTTTTTTGATGACGTCTAGTTAAGTCTCATTCTTAATTTTGTTTGTTTGTTTTTGTTTTCTGGGTACCAGGAATCAAACTCAGGACCTTGTGCTTGTTACTGAGACCCATAGCTTGCGCCACTGAGATATATCCCTGGCCTGGCCCCTAGTTAAGTGTCATTCTGTCCTTGTTTTTGGTTAATGATGAAATCTGTGATTGAACATTAATGGAGAAAAACGAGATTTCTGATTCTAAGTAATGTTTTTGTCATTGTAAGTACTGAGAGGGAAGCCTGATCAAATATTTCACTATCTTCTTACAGACCTAAAGAAACATGAAGTTAATGCTGCTTTCCCTTAAGTAACTTAAGAATTTTCTGTTAGTTGAACATATGATTGGGTTAGGTCTGATCTGCATGGAGATTTTTGTTAGAACACAGGGATTTGAAGTCTACAAACTGGTGGCTCGTGTAAGTTCTAGGGCTGAGGTGCAGCTGAGATGACAAATGTCCTTAGCTAACGACCTGGCATTAACTCTGACTGCAACTACGAAATGTCAGATTGGGCTAAGTAGTACATTTATTTTCTAGCTGCTATAGCTTTTTTGTTGTTGTTGTTGTTGTTGTTAGTAATTTTATTGAGAAGCAAATAGCAATGAGACAGTTTCAAAACTGATCAGTAGGACAGTTTCAATAATAAATATATTGCAAATTGTTGCCTCAGTGGTTATTCATTGTACAAGATGCAAACATGACATCCTGTCCACAAACACTATTAGAACAAATCTTCTTACTCATTGAATTAAGAGAAAGCAGCTGTATATCTATCCTATTTTGAATATACAGATACAAAATGGTCATTCATTTGTATGCCCTTTTTTTGTTAAGTGTTGTCAGAGAAGGGTATTCCATTGTCATTTAAATATTGTAGGTACATGAATTCAGCAAGATATTCCAATATAGTCCAGTAGTCCATAATAGTAGTGGGTCATCCACAGGACTGGCAATGTCAGAAGTTGTTGACCTGAGCCCTTTTTTTTTTTTTTTTTTGGTGGAACCGGGGATTGAACTCAGACCCTTGCACTTGCTAGGGAAGTGCTTATTCCACTAAGTCATCTCACTAGCCCCAACCTGAGCCCTTTACAGCCCAGCATACTAACATGGCCTTACTCCTTATACCTCATTTTTATACTTTTCTGCTGGATGGTTAAGACCAAAATAAAGCAAGATCTATATAACCTGAAATGTAACTTTTTTATCTGATAAAGTCAGTCAAGTCTCTTCAGGATTTATCCTGTAACCCTGTACTGCAGTTTGCACATCCTTTGTCAGTGTCAGCCATGTTGATGAGTCATGGCCATTGTTTGACCAATTTGCTCTCTGTGAAAGCCTGAGAGAATGTTTTCTCTCCATGTGATTCTCCTTAGGCACACTCTACATCATTCCTCTGTGGCCCCATAATCTCCTTGATCAGAAAGTTTGGGACACAACTGAGTTACATGATGTTACAGTACAGGTTCTCTTATGTCCTGAGTCCTCACTGACCTTGAAAGGCTAGGGGCCAAAATGTTGGCTGACCTTGCAGCCCTTCTTTTTCTCTAATTTTTGGTCTGCAAACTTAAGTTGTTAACACTCCAGAAGAGAAGCTTATTATTACCCTACGACATATGCAGTTGGGTTTAACCTGTCTGTCTGAATATCAAACATCTTAGGCATAACATGGAACAGGTATTTTCCATCAAGTATTGATATGTTAAACATTAAGTCCCTACAGAATATGAAGAAAATAAATATTAGAAAATATGAATAAACAATTACAAATTTTTACATAGAAATTTAGAAATCTAACCATATACAGCATTGTAGCAGGACAGTCCTGTGACTTTTTTTTTCTTGTCTCTATTTTTCATTTATTACTCTTTTTTTTTTGAACATTTACTTGAGAGACAGTATGGCAATAATTGGTATGTCATGACAACAGCTGTTATAGCTTTGTATGCTTTATTTATTCATCTACTTGAATCAGTATTTACTGGGTTCCTGTTGTGTACCCAGCACTGTTCTGGGTGCTAATGATAACAGAAACAAACAAGTTTACCTCCAAGTTATCCATAGTCATGGCTGCATTACACAGTAGATGGTTGGCCACTTGGGAGAGCACTTCATGCAGTCTGAGACTGAGGTGCATACACAGTTTAGGGACAGCCTAGAGGAATGGACATTTAAAATGGAGTAAAAATTGATCAGTTAAGGCAGCACGAGTGCTTTAACAGAAGATGTAGCATTCCAAAAACAAAAAGCCTAGAAACCAGGGCATTTTGATATACTGCGAATAATTTACTAGGACCAGGTTAAGTGACATAGCTACTTATGGTTACCATGTTGTTGACAGGGCTGTAATTTGTATGCTTCCCTGGCAGGCAGTTTGAACCACCAGTAGTATATGCATGACTGTCATTTGCATGACTGTCCCACTCGGCCACCAGTGGTATAAGCCACCCAGTGGAACTGTCACACATGTAGCACTGGTAGTTCAAGGTAGAAGGGATTTAGTAACTGGGCTGTAACCTTATTGTAAGTCAAGAAGCATCTGTGTAGCCCACCTAGAAAGGTCACTTTGATACAGTATGAGGGTCAAGTGCAGGACCATGATGTAAGGATGTGGGTTTTACTCAGAATCAAGAAAATTAGTCAGATGTAGAGACAGAAACAAAGCAGTGTCAAGGGTCATAAATTAGAGATCACATTAGATGAGTGTGTAATGATGGATCAAATGGGTTTCTGATTTAGTAGATTCGTTAAAAACAATGTAATGTAGTTCTCAGATATGGGAATTAGCCAACTGTCATTTACTGAAATGGAAAATTGTGAATGAAGAAAAAAATATTTTAAGATATTTGTTTGTTTATTTTTTTGAGAAAGATTTACTATGCAATTCGGTCTGGCCATGAACTCACTTCGTAGCCCAGGCTGGCCTTGAAACTACAGCAATCCTCCTGCCTTTGCCTCCAGAGTGCTGGGATTACAGGCATGTGCCATCATGCCAGATTTAGAAAAATGTTTTTATAACAAGTACCGTTGTGGACATTTTACTTATAACTGTAGCCATTAGGGATAATTTCTTGTATTGGAGACTAAAAGTGGCAGTAGCTTCATAAGAAGGTTCATTTCTCTTTCTTATGGAAGGAAGCCAAAGTAGGGCTGATTTGTCGTGGTATTTGCTCCATGATGTCATCAAGGACCCATGCTACATTGGGTTTTCTGCTGTGTTGTCCTGAATCCATTGCTTCCAACATTGAGGCCATTATATGAGTTAAACTGATTGCTGGAGGTCCAGCTATCACGTCCACGTTTTAGTCAGCAGACAGAAAGAGGATAGTTAGGGAAAGAAAGTGTATGCTGTACTTTCTAGCTGAATTGTGTCTTGTTTTGTGTGTCTGTGTATTTAATACAGGGTCTACAGAGTCTCACTAGAGACTCATAAATCAGACTGTAGTGATCCTCCTGTTTACAGCATGCCATGTGCTGGAATCACAGGTGTGCGCCACCATACCTAGTCACATCTCAGCTTGCCCCAGGGGTGGGGCCGGCATGGCAGGCCAGGGGATCAAAATCCCTGGCCCCTGCGTCTTCCTAAATAGGGGCTTTAATCCGCTGAGCTATTTGGGCAGCCCTTGAATTATATCTCTTTAAGAAGTTTTTTTCTGGAAGTTCTATGTAATATTTTGACTTGGCTTGTGATTACATCTAGTTAGAAATTATGATCTTGGTGGATTATAGCCCAAAGTAAAATTGGAATTGTTTACTCAGTAAGCACGGTTAAGAGGTAACCAGCAGACACAGTCCAAAACAGATATTTGAAGGCAGTTGTTAGGGGCTCCTTTCTTGTTGAACTGTAGACCATCTTTCTGATGTGCGAATGGTTCCCCAGTCGCCTTGTGCCGTGTTCACTTCTGTTGATCATTGTCTGTGTTTGAGATAGAAGTCATTAGTGGACCTCAGTACTGAAATGGTGAGAATTTGCAGGTCACTTTAGATAAAATTTAGTCGTCTTAAGGACTAAAAAAAAAAAAAAAAAGGAAATAGGGCCGGCCAAATAGCTCAGTGGATTAAAGTGCCTGCAAGCAGGCACCGGGGCTGGGGGCTCAATCCCCAGGCCTACCATGCCCCTGGGGTGCACTGAGAAAGCAGCTTAGACTGGGCATGGTGGTGCTGCCTATAATTCCAGCTCTTGGGAGGCTGTAAACAGGCAGATCACTAAGAATCTGAGCTAGTAGTGAGGCCCTTCCCTAAAACAATACAAAGGAAAAAAGAAAAATTTAGTTTAGAGTTTAAAATGAAAAAAGGTATTGCTGACCTGTTTTTAAAAAATATTTTATTGAGGCATAAATCATATAAAAAGTGTACATACGTTTATAGCTTGATTAATTTTCATAAATCTCACACTTTCCTCTAACACTAATCAAAAAGCATTTAAAGTGAGTTTAATTCTTTCTGGTTTCAGGAGGAAGGAGAACCTGTTTTCTTCAGATACGCTATTATCTCTCTCTCTTGTACTGCCATCTCTATAATTATAATTTAAATGATGCTCAAGGATTATGTGATCAGCTGGTAAGGGAAGTGCTGAGATGGTCCCAACTGCCTGTAAAAGAAAATGAAGATTATTTGGGTATGCCTTTATAACTCAGTATCTGTACTGTTGTTAATTGTGTTCATGGGTTTATACAAATAATTGCTTATATACAAAAGTTGGTTGTCCTGCCTGTATGGTATATACATTATATTAATTTAGATTCTAGACTGTTAACTTCTTAATAGCAAGGATCATGTGGAGTTTTTAAATTTTGTTTTGTCTGTTTTTAATCTTACAGGTTTTAGTAGTAATTACCTGCTAAATTTATGGAACAACTTTGTCACATACCTATTTGCTTAGATATATATACCCCACTATCTTTTCTTAATATATTTGTATATTCTTTAAATGTTACTTAAATTGATTTAGGACAGTCTAAAGAGCACTTTATAAGAAATTCTGAGTCTTTTCAAAATCTGTTTAAAAAGGTAGATGATCTAGATTGTCTTTCCCAAAAGATACATTTAAATAAACCTGAGAAAAAAAAAAAAAACAACTGGAAAACACAAGAGCTGGGGAGATGGCTCAGTGGAATAAGTACTTCCCTGACAAGCGCAAGGGCCTGAGTTCAATCCCCAGTTCCGCCAAAAAAAGAAAAAACCCAAAAACTAAATAAACCAGAGGAAAAAAAAAACAAAAAACAAAAATATACATATATATGTGTATGTGATTGGGCAGTTAATGTATTTACAATAATTTAAAAATATTAGACTAGTACATGCACACCATACATATGACTATCTGAAAGGCTCAACATAACACTGCTTTTTTAAAATTTGTATTAGTATATGTTTGTGATACATTAATCATGATAGTTGGTATGTATACAAAGCACATCTGTAGCATTATTTTTTATTGTATCAGAACCTTTTAAGTAAAATCCATAGCATTTTTTTGTATGAAATCCTAATCTTTTTCTTCTTAGTATTGTTATTATTTTAGTAGTGCTAAGTATTGAACTCATGGCCTTATAATGCTTGACTTATATATCTTTATTTATCTCTATGGAGCTTTCTGTTTTATAGTCCTTCCCCTTCTGTTTTACAGTCATCTTAAATTTAATATCATGAATATTTTCCAATGTCAATAAATGTTCTTTTAAAAATACTCTTATGAAAGTATCTACTGAGTGGCCAGGAAGATAGCTCAGGGACCGGGGAGATAGCTCAGTGGAATAAGTGCTTGCCTGGCAAGCACAGGGTCCTGAATTCAATTCCTGGTACCGGGAAAAAAAAAAAAAAAAAAAAAAAAGTGTCTATTGAAACTTTCATTGTTTCACATTTTAAGCTATAGCCATATAAAATTTTTTTTTCTTTCTTTTTTTTTTTTTTTTTTTTTGGTGCAACTGGGGGTAGAACTCAGGCCCTGGCAATTGCCAGGCAAGGGCTGATTCTACTGAGCCATCTCCCCTGCCCCATACTTTTTAAAAGTGTTTCAGCGTACCTAAATATTATCATTATAACATTTTTAGGGTAGATTCCTGGAAATAACTTCAATTGATCAAAGTACTTTTCTTTTTGTATTTAATATAGGGTCTACAGGGTCTCATTTGAACTCTTAGTGATCCTCCTGTTTTCATCCTCCCAAGAGCTGGGATTACAGGCATGTGCCACCACACCCAGTCTCAGTCATCATCTCAGTGCATCCCAGGGAAGGGGTCAGCACAGCACACCAGGGATTGAACCCTGGTCCTTGAACTCTGCCTAAGCAGACTCTTTAGTCCAGTGAGCTGTCTGGCTGGCCCTCGAGTACTGACTTTTTAAGACTTTAATTTCTGTTCTCAGGTTGCCCTCCAAAAGATTAAGTATGTATGAGTAAAAGAACTTCATATCTTTTTCAATCAATATTACTTTTTCACAAGTATCTTTACAATGACTTAGCTTTCAGGATAAATTGAATATACAGTAATTATTTGTTTTAATTTTTAATGATACTTATTGAAAATATGCTAAGCATATACTTATTAGATGAAAAGTCGCCAAGACTATGCCCCAAGTTTGGCAGTTTTCTAGGACTCACATGACTCAACATTGTGGTCATACCCAAAGTTCTGATTTATATAATGAAAGGCATTAAAGCAAAAAAAAAAAAAAGAGAGAGAGAAACATGGGGTGAGAGCTGGAGGAAGCCAGGGAGAAGCTTTCAGGAGTCCTGTCCCAGTAGAGTCACTTAGGAAGTCCTTGACTCCCCCATGATGAGGTGTGACAGCACATGTGAGATGTTGTCTGCTGTGCAGCTCATTAGAGACTCTGTGCTTAGGGTTTTAATTGGTGACTGATCACACAGCTCTCTTGTACAGAGCACATCACAAAGACCCATCCTCCCAGGGGTGAATAAAGCATTCTGCGTAAAACACATTGTTTTTGCAAACAGTGTGGGCCCAGGGAGCCATTCTGAGTTACCATGAAGCCAGGATCCCAGGTGCCAAGGCAAGGGCACATGTAAGTAGGCGTTTCAGGCAGAAAGCCTGAGAACTCTTTTCTGCATACCTACCTCATTAAATCATTGTAGTTACCATTTCATTTTTGTGGTATAAAGTTGCCATTATTAACATCATTGTGGCTTATTCAAAATTTAGCTCTGCAACTTCTCTTCTGGTACTGGAGATTGAACACAGGGCTTTGTAGTTGCTAAGCTACCCTCGAGGTGAACCTGAGAAATTTTGATGTAAAATAACTATCACCACCTCCCCATGGTCTTTTTACTTTACGCTTTGTACAGTCTTTTCACTACTACCTCCCAACAGAACCTGATACTAATAGCCCTTTACAACTAATTGGCAGATTTAATGGTATAGAAAAGACACCAAGACATGCTGTTTTGTGCTTTTTAGATAATCTTTATAGTAAATGCTACCTCTTCATCCAAAACAGCAAAAACCAACAAATGAAAGAGAAAACAAATGATGAAATGGAAATGCTAAGCTTGCGAGTCCGTCATGTCTAGATTAATTTTTAGAAATTCATTGATTTTTAAAAATAAAAATATTAGCCAGTGATGGCATTGTGACCCATGCTTGTAATCTCAGCATTTTAGAGACTAGGACAAGAGGTTTGCTGTGAGTTTGAGGCCAGCCTGGACTACATAGTACATTCAAGGCCAGCTTGAACTATATAGGGAAACCCTGTCCTAAAAACCCTAAATAAATAAATAAATAAATAAATAAATAAAATTATGAAAACAACAGTTTCTAAGTGTATGTGCTTATAATTATGAACTAAAAATTTTTACTGTCTTCAAGAAGTATGGGTGCCTGTCATAGCTTATGTAGGCTATTGGCGCTTATCTCTGAAAAAAATTATGATTTTCTTGTTGTGCGATGGATTTACGTATTACTAGTTTTCGGCAGTTTGGTCTAAATCTCCTTTGGTCCTTTGCTATCTCCTTTAGATGCTGAGCAGTGTCCTGGTGAGTCTGCTGGGACTGGAAATGTCCATCCTGAGGCAGCAGTCAGAGTGGTGCAGTCCATGGCTCGTTTCATGGCCGCATATTTCACCAATCAGCTGCTTTGTGTTTTGCCACCTCACAGTGTCAGTGTTCTTCCTCCACTTCATCTTAAAACTGGTAATATGGTGAATGAATAATTGTCTCACCTTTCGGGCACCTGGTATATAACACCATAACACATGACGATCATTATTAATAGCACTGTTCTAGCACACCTACCTGACATAGCAGATGCCAAAGGACTATTTATGAACAACTAAAACCTGAAAAAGGCACTTTACTTTCATTGAACATAGATTTTCACAAATTTTGGCAAATTAATATTTATAAAATATCATAGAGTGTTTTGTTTTGGTACTGGGTAAACCCAGTACCCAGAGCCTTCACACTGAGCTACATTCCCAGCCTTGTTTTCCTTTTTATTTTGAAGACAGGGTCTTGCTGTCTCACTGATTTGCTCATGCTGGGAATATAGAAGCTGCAGGTATAGCTGAGTGGTAGAGCAGCAAGCACATAGCATATCAGAGGCTTTGAATTTGATTTCTGAGTTCAACAAAAGAAAAACAAGAACACAGAGTTCAGAATGGAAATTTAGAGAGAAGCACACTCAGGTGGTTACATTTGGGCAGAACTTACAATGGGAAAGAGTCAACCACAGACACGCTAACCTGAGCTTATGCTAAGGTACCAGGGCAAGAACAAGCTGGATATGTTTGAGACACATGAGGAGGCATGAGATTGTAATACTCATTTTCTTTAATTTTCTCACAGAGCGGTCCCATCGATTTATTCCTCTGCAACACTCAAAGGTGGCCAGTGTTGTTAGAGATCAAAATCTCTCTAATGTGTGGACAGTTGAATATGCCCTTGAATTATTATTTATTGGTGGCCTAGTTCCAGAGGCTGTGTGGTTGGCCCATAAACTTGGAGATTGGAAGACATCTGTTTCAATTGGTGTGGCTTTCCAACTGTTCTGTAAACATGATAGCAATTCTGTGAGGTATGTGTTTTAAATAGCATAACAGTGTCACCTGAATTGTTTCTGTTCTTTTTATTCTTGGTATTTACATATGTGGAATTCTTCAAGGGACTTGCTTAAGAGACTTTCATAAGCAAGTATGTGCCTGCTGTCCACTGTGATAGCCACAAGCAGCTATCAGGCATTTGAAATGTGGTGAATGAGACCAAGGAGCTGAATTTTTAACTTAATTTTAACTAAACTTTAGGGGGCCTGGCCCTAGCTCAGGCCTTTAAGTGGCTGCTTCCACAAAGCTGTCAGCCTCAGGTTGCTGGAGTTCGAACCTCACAACTCTCCCGCTGGCCAAATGTGCCCTGAAGGTATTCGAGGAACAAAAAAAAAATCCTTAACTAAACTTTAATAGTTACATTCTATTTAAAACAGTGATTACTGTGTTGAGTGACTTAGTGTCTTGTTTATGTTGAAACATGTAATAATACCATCATAGGGCATATAGTCAACAAGAAAATTTGTCCCAAATAGAATCTGAGCTTTAAGCTAATTAAACAAATCTCGGTTATTTATTTTTTTTCTGACTGTTGTGGCACTATCATGTCTTTTACGTGTTTTTAAATTTCAGTAGTTGAATATATATTTGTTAAGTACCTGCGGTCTACAAAGCTCTATGTAAGGTATTTTAGTGTATAAAGCCTGAATAGAGGGCCAGTGAGATAGCTCAGTGGACTAAGCGCCTGCTTAGGCAAGCACAGGGACCAGGGTTTGATCCCTGGCACCGCATGTTGCATTGGGCCTGCCCCCAGACACACTGAGCTGGCCACCAAGTCCCATACCTATAACCCCAGTGGTGGAGAGGCTGAAAGCAGGAGGATCACAGCAAGTCTGAACTGCATAGTGAGACCTTATACCAAGTACTTAAAAAAAAAAAATATATATATATATAGATATAGATATAGATATAGATATAGATATAGATATAGATATAGATATAGATATATAGATATATCACAAAAGTTCTATGCTTAAGTTATTTATACTTTAATAGAGAAAATAGGACAAAACGTTATTATAATTTATATAGTATGATAAGAAAAGTATCCATGATACAGTGGGGAGAATGACAACATCAAATAGGGAAAAAGACAAGAAATAAGTATACTATGTGGAAGATGTTATTTGAGATGGGCAGTAACGGATAGTCAGGATCTTGCCAAACTGAATAGCAGTTGAGAAAGGGAACATTCTAAGCATGAGCAAAAATATTTGGCTAGGGGGCCGGGAGATAGCTCAGTAGAATAAGTGCTTGCCTGGCAAGTGCAAGGGCCTGAATTCAACCCCTTGTTCTGCCAAAAAAATAAAAAATAAAAAAAATAAAAAAAAAAAACTTGGCTAAAGCAGTTTTGGTTCAGTATAAGCAGTGTGTATATAGGGAAGCAGTAGGAGGTAAAAATGGAAAAATATGCCTGGCGCATGCCTGAAATTCTAGCGTTGTGGGAGGCTGAAGCAGGAGGATTTCAAGTTCAAGCTCAGCTTCAACAACTTAGTGAGGCCCTGTCTCAAAAAGGGGGGGGGGGGAGGCTGCAGATTTACCTTGGTAGAAAAGCACTAGGTTCAAATCCATGAAAAGGACATGGGTATTGGGCCGCCCTTGGGTGTAGCAGGGAAAACCTTGATCTTGGGTTTCCTTTTTAAGTTTAGGGTGAATAAGGACAAATTTTTTTTTTGTTGTTTGCGGAACCAGGGATTGAACTCAGGCCATTGTGTAGACAAATTAATTCTAATGTTCTTTAAATTTTCATGTTTCGTTCTTTATCTGTAAAATCTTTTCTTTTAAAATACATTTTAGGGCCAGGGAGATGGCTTAGTGGAATAAGTGCTTCCCTGGCAAGCGCAAGGGCCTGAGTTCAATCCCCAGTTCCGCCAAAAAAATAAATAAATAAATAAAATACATTTTAGATTAATTTTCCTTACTTTGATATCATTTCAGGTCCAAGAAAAGGGTTCTGCATCTGCCATTAAATATGACTCCAGCACAGATTTTCCAGGAAAAACTGCAGTGTTTTTTAGGTCAGCCTACCTCCTTGGAAGCAAAACAAGAAGTGGGCTCAAAATATAAAGAGTTTACAGGTGTGTTACCTATGTATGATTTGACATACATATCAGGTTAAAATGAATATTTATTATAAAAATCATATAAATATCTAGAAACATATTAACATTTTGAAGTAACCTTTATAAAATATAAGGCCGGTATTTATAGTCAAGTATGGGAATGTCTAAAATGGATACTAGCTCAAAACACACAAGGGTTAATAACTATGACTGATTTTCAGGTTTTCGATACATACCTTATACTAATCCATTTTTCTTAAAATGAGTTCTCATTATGTAGCCCAAGGATGTCTTTTTTTTTTCGGGACCAGGGACTGAACTCAAGACCCTGTGCTTGCCAGGCAAGCACTTATTCTACTGAGCTATCTCCCCAGCCTCCCAGGGATGTTTGAGCTCAATGGGCTCACGTTCTCTCCTGCCTCAGCCTCCTGAGTGGCAAGAACTAAAGGCGTCCACTGTCATAACTGGCTTATACTAATTTAATTTTGTTGTATTACCATCATTTTCTTTTGCGCTCATAGAATAATAGGGTGTTTTGCATGCTAGGCAAGCAACAGTACCACTGAGCTATTTACTTAGTGTAGGGTTTTTTTTTTATTAGAAACATTAAATCTGAATAGATTCTTGAAGTTATTAAAATGGTATTACAAAATTAAAGGTAACAATTGCATGTGCTCTATAGATTACCTAGGAATACTAAACAAGAATGTTTTACGAATGGAGTTATTTAGAGAAAAACTGTGAAGTCCTTTGAAGTCATATATTTAACACTAGAACCAGGACAGCAGTGGGGCACTTTGTGTTTCCTAGAGCTTTAGTCCTTTAAGGAATAAGACTTACAAATCTAAATTCCTAAAACAACTTTTCTTTCTTGAGAGAATCTATAATACTTAGAAATCCAGTTGTTCATTTTTCTTTAATAATTTTCAGCTTTTCAGTTAATCAAACTTTTAGTATGTCAAAGCTTGAGGTGTTTCTTGGGCTTTTTAAAGCTTCATTTGGGGGCCAGGGAGATGGCTCCGTAGAATAAGCGCTTCCCTGGCAAGCGCAAGGGTCTGAGTTCAGTCCCCAGTTCCGCCAAAAAAAAAAGCTTGATTTGACAAAAAGGACTGAAAAAGCCCCTAATCAGGAACTGTGTGCGGTGGCCCAGTCTGGAGTCCTGGCTACCTCGAGGGCAAAGTGGAGGATCACTTGAGCCTAGGAGTCACAGTGTAGCCTGCGCAACATAGCAAGATTCTAGCTGAGAAGGGCCAGGGAGATGGCTCAGTGGAATAAGTGCTTCCCTGGCAAGCACAGGGCCTGAGTTCAATCCCCAGTTCCACAAAAAAAA